GTCCTCTGCACTCCCCGAGCCTTCACCCCCCCCCCCCTCCGAGAAACTGAATTTTGAAGCTAGAGACCAGACGAGCAAATCTGGATCGAAGAGGGACCCACCTCAGGTCTTGAATGGGCTTTCAAACTTGATCAAACACTTCCTCTCCCAACCTGGCATTACCTTCAGCTGCTTGTCAACTGCACATACATTGATCTTGGTCTTCCCCAATTCCTTGGCCTATCCACCATCGAACAGTAGTCTTCTTTTCTCCCTCAAACCTTGCATCAAGCCAGACCCATTCGTCCGCCGAGATCCCCAAGCCAACTTTGCTCTGACTCTCATTTTCCTTAAACCTATAAGTCCCAAACTTAATTTTCCAAAAATACCCTTTACCCCTAAAACCTCTTGCACCGATTCAATTTTTCAAAACTCTTACTAATTCTCTTAAAATTGTGCCCCCCACTACTAACTTCCTTCATTTGTTTACCTGCTACCACCACCTATGTTTTATGCCTACCCCCTCCAATCTTTCGCTCAAATTTTGAACTACTAATGTCTTGTTAAATTCTTTTGTCACGCGGACACCTCCCAGCCGACCACCCAATTTCAAACTCTCTAATTGATCATCTACTAATGTCATCCCTGCCATGTCACCCTTTTCTCCTTCCTCCTCCCCCAACCCCTAGCTCTTTGACTCCCCATCTTCCTCCGTCTCCTCCGCACCATTGTTACCTGAGACCTCTACAACTTTGTTTTCTCCCTCCTTTTCCTTTTCCCTTACCTCTTCAACCACCTACTGCTCTTCCATTGTTCCTTCCTCCGTTCTTGAAAAGGTTTTGTTTTCTCTTCAATAATCACCCTTAGGCCATATTTTTCTCCAGCAAGCGCAAGAATCATCATGTGCGGGATGGAAAAGATCTCCTCAACTTCAACCAAGATTCCGGCCATGTCCAACTTCTTCCAAGACTTATTTTTGTCATCATATTTCAAGAACCTTTCATGCCTATTGCCTATTTCTTCGAAGGTGAGGATACTCCAAGCATGCAAAGGGATGTCAATCACCCCAATCCACATCGCCCTTCTTCATCGACCTACAGACGCATTCTCATGTCGTCGAGAACCACCAATCAAGCCTCAAGTCAAGGCTTCTCTTTTTTGTTTTCTCATATTCCAAGACCCACTCCACACATGCCTATTGTGGAACATGAATAGCAACAACCCTCCATTCAGCTTTCTCACCCCCATAACCCTCTCCTTTCCCCACTCTAAAACCGCCCAAGCTTCAACCTTCTCAACCTCCATCTCTCTCCCAACAACTCTACCAACCAGGCTAGCATAGAGCACCCTCATTCTCTCCTCCAGCTTGCTGACCCCCCTGGCACCTACGTGCACCTACATCAAAGAAATTGCTGCAACATCATCACACAATATCACAATTGTGCACCACATATATAGGAGAGTAGTGTTGCCAATATCACAATTGCAATTCTTCCTTTGGCTATGTAGATTTGATTGAGCATCATCCCATTTGTACCCCAAAAGAGTTGCTGATTGTTCACTCCCTGCTTTGATAGGTTGTATACCATTATATTAGTAGTTCTACACTATTTTAAAAATGCATGGCGCAAAAAAAGCACAAGGGCCAATTTGCACCTGAGGTGTAAGGCAAGGCGTGTGCCTTTCTTAGAAAGGCACAAAATTACCAAATAAAAAAGGCTAAAAAATCAGAAAATTCAAAAAAAATGCCAAAAAAAATTTAAAAAATGCAAAAATAAATCAAAAAACATCAAACATAATGTTAATAAAAAATATAAACTTAAGTTTTAAAATAAATGTTTTAAAAAACCTATTACCTAAAATTAAAATACATAAACATAACATGTAAAGCATATTCAAATGAAAATTTAAAAATAAAAGAAAACATATAAAGCATTTTCAAGCATGTAAAACCCACAATCTCTTTTTCTCCTTAATTGCATTGCTTCAAGTAGCTAATGTGATGTAAAACATATTGCATTCTTGATTCCGTGAGTCGCCTTTATACCACGCCCCTCGAGGCAAGCCCAAACAAGTCTATGTTAGGGTCTGAAATTCTTATTTCTCACAAAAAATAATGATTTTATAACTTCCATTGCCTTTTAAGAAGATATTTTATTGCAATGAATGAATGAACAACATTAGCAAATAGGGGGTTATCGGAGCTTCAATGAGCAAGCGAAGCGAGCGAACCGGAGCAGATGTGATTGTAGCCCAAGAAAAGATGTTTTATCACACAAGTGTTGCTTGACAACTATGCAAATGATTATAAAATTGGATGTGATTGTAGCCCTCAAAGCAAGAGGAAGAAATCATTTTGCTTACTACCAACTCTAAAAAATGGGTGCCCCCTCTTGAACTAACTCCATCTCATCCTATGAGCAACCACACTACACTTCCAATGGCAACACTGAAGAGCCAAACCTAAGCATGTATGGAATGTCTAATATATTCACATAAACCTATCAACATTTGGAAGTTGAAATCAGAACAGGTACGTTAACATAAGTGATTTTTATCAAATAGGGAGAATGAAAGCATTAAATTTCCCTATTGATAAAAAAAAAGCATTAAATTTCCCTTACCTGATTTTTTTTTTTTGATAAATTCCCTTACCTGATAATTTCCATTGTATTTTCATTATCACTTTCACTACATCTACCCTGCCAATACAAACCAAATTGCACAAAGACCACGTTCATTTGGCAGTAAATTATTTACCTGGGTAAATGCATTTACCCCAGTAAGTGTTACCTGGGAAAGTGTTACCCCGGTAAGTACATTTGCCCATGCTCTTTTTACAAAAAGTATTAGTTGGATAAGTGAGCAAACTTCCTAAAGGACCCCTAACTTTTTTATTCTGATAGGAATATTTTAGTCCTATACAGTTTGGCCAACTTCCCCGCTCCATGCGTAAGTAAATTACCCACCTAGGAGATGGGTAAGACCATCTCAGGTAAGTTTCCAAAATCCTGCCCGGGAAAGTTTTGTTTCCACAGGTCCCACACTTCACTAGTAAAAGAACATGGGAAAGTGTCAACTTTCCCATTGACCAACTCGACCCCCCAACCCCAAACAAACCTGGCCAAAGAGGAAACAGTGAAGCAGTTTTCCATATGCATTAAAGTCTCCACTCTAACAAATGAACTAAGGAGAATTTTTCTCCCCACATATCCAGTCTAATCAGCACCTTAGAAATTACAGAATTAGCAAGAATGAATGAGACCAGTCACCTAGATGTCAAAGTCAACAAAACTGTTACAACATGTGGTCCTCCCTGACAACCCCTAGTATTTCTTTTTCCACATTGGCTATCAATAACAATAAACATATAAAATAGGAAATTAGTAAAACTAGTGAAAGTCTAGATGCCAAATCCCAAAAGAAAATAAAGAAAAACAAACGAGAAGACCCAAAAAATAAATGAAAGGAAAAGTACAAGAACAAAAGAAAAAAAAGAAAACAAGCACAATCAAGCAATTGAACTCCTCTCTCTGCACTCTGCTTTAGCTAAGGGTCAGCTACAATATAAGCCAACCATTGCATCCAGTTGTATAAAATGTTCCCCAACGCCAAGCATCTGTAAAGACTCTTCACTCTTGTAGTATGTATTCATCCAATCCATCCAAGCATTATAGAGGAATCTCCCACTTTTTCCAATCTCTAAACTGAATGGAATGAAGTATCCTAAAACTCTAAAGGACAGCAAAAAAGAGCCCTGACCACATAGAGACCCCAGGCTCTCATAAAACCCTTCTATTGATTCATCATTTCATCTCGACTAAGGATTTAGCAAAGCAAGCAGCAAAAGATGTACATGCAGATTACAGAACTAAAATACGAATAGAAATCCTGCATGGGTAGGTCAATGATTTCAAACTCCTTAATTTCTCCAAAAACAACAAGATCAACTAACTTTTGACAATTGCCACTGCCAGTTACAAAGGTATTCAAGTCTATGCAAAGTTGTTTAATTCGTAAGGTATGTCCTCTTTAGGTTTTTCCTCCTCTACCATAGCTATGATTTTCCACCACATGAATGATAGGGAAGCATATCCTTCTTGCAAAAAAGTTGGATTCAAAATCCAATATGCCCTTTAATTTTATTGGTAGAAGAATATTTCAAGCCATCAGCAACTAAAAAATTGATAATTTTTTTCTTTTATTATTTCAAAGGTCATATTTTTTTAAGGCTGTATAATCGTTTACCCACCACCACATAATGCCTCTTCAAATTTCTCCTCCAAAAACGTGATCTACCAACAAATCTACTACCAAGATCTATTCACAGGTCCTCTCCTTCCATCTTCTCACCATTCATAGCAACCAATGCAAAAGACACCATCATTGCATCAGATAGAGACATGGCACAAGTCAACGAGACAAATTCTATCTATGCCGAAGGAAAACATGAAAAAATGATGAGAAGATTAAAAGAAACATATGATACAAATGTTTTTCAGATGTTAACATATATTGCTTCCCAATAAATAATGCCAAGTGCTTTCCAAGTTCAGATTACTTGACTAATTTTTGTATTGGTAATCTTTCTTTTTTTCTATAGTAAGAATAAAATTCATTAACGCAAAAGGAATTGTATCCAGAAAATTGTAGTTCTTTTAACTATTTAACCAATTAACTCCCACACAGAGGGGAAAAAAACTAATGTCACGAAGAAAAGTTCAGAGAAGTAAATTGAAAGAGAAGGAAGAAAAAGAAAGAAGAGCCCAGCATAATCATAAAAACAGAAACTAATTAAAAGGGAATATTTACCTCCAGCAGCACAGCCCATTACTCCATTTACCCATTCTACAAACACCTAATGTGTGTAACTAGGAACAAGATGATTCAAAATATAAATTATTAATGATTAAATGTTGAAACCTAGTTACAGTACGCAATCTTCCAATGGAAACTAAATAACTCCATTAACAAATGTGGTACCCAAACTTAACTATAAAATAAAAGAAAACAAGAAAGAATTGCTAAGCCACCAAGAATGTTGAATTGATGAATGAGTTTCATTTCCATCATTCCATGTGAGACCCAAAATTCATGCAGGCTTTACAAAGAAAGCAAAACAGAGTGAAAATGAATGCTAAAGGTAAAGAGTTACAGCTATAAGAAATGGAACTCCCAATGAGGGAATTCAGTTCCTAGCACTTAACATCAGTCCCGTTTAAAATATAACTAACAGAGAAAACAATGTATAGATCAAAAAACACGCATAAGCTATCAAACCCCGATGCTCATCCCCACAAGAAGCAAGCTCAACCAGAAGACGTGTGCAGACCCTCGTCGACCAAAGCACAAAAACAGCCGCCATGGAAAATGCAACAACTCCTCCTTGCGGAATAAACAAGGATAACGCCGAAAAGATCACTATTGGCAGCATACAGTAACCAAGGAGACTCAAACAACGGTAGAGATCCAAATTCCCATTGCGACCCGCCAACATATTGAATACAACGTAGAGGAAAAGAGAGGCAAACGTGACCCAACCCAAGATAACGCCGAAATGGATCTTCCCAGCGAGCAATTGAAAGAGACCGAAACCCATAAGGAAGATAAATGGACCTGATAAATCAGCATCTTCATGGAGATTGGCGTTTACTCTGAAAGGGTTCAAGATCGATACAGTCTTCCTCCAGATTTGGCGAGTATTGATTCCAAGCTCTTCAAGTAGAGGCGGCTCGTCCTCGAAGTTAGAACCAATTCCTACACCAGTTGCGCCAAAAACAGGAGCCGAGAAGGATGTCGGTGGAGGGGCAGATCCAATATCAAATGACATAAAGGGGAGGTTAGGGTTTGCAGGGCGAGGCGGCTGGAACGGCGCCGTTGGGACTCGCCGCTGCTGCGGAACGCTCCCGGGATTCCCGCCGGAAGGAAACACTACGGGCGGGACATTGAATTCTTTCGCCATGTACGAAAGCTAATAGGGGTCAAAAAATGAAAGTTTTCACTTTTCAGTGCTTCAATTCGATCCTAACCGTAATTTGAAACGGAAAAGTGCCCAGAAATTCGAAGCGAGAGCGCTTACATCAGATCAATTCCTCAGATGGAGCACAGCATCCGGCGGTCGGTTGACAGTTGCAGAGAAGAGAGACCTTAAGAGGCTTCTGACGGAGTGGAATGAACTATAAAGAGAAAATTAGGGATTTATTTCAGAAAGGAGACGAGGACTAGGGTTTGCAGATGATGGAGAAATGAAAGCTGAAAGTCGCTTCTTAGTGAGTCAGTGTAGTTAAAGGTAGCCCTCCTCCCCCAAAGAGAAGCGACGACAGATCTTTCGCCATGTCTCCAACTCTTCCCAGGCTCCCCATTGGTTTGGTGGCAACTACAGCGAGCTCTTCGTGACTGTTTTACCCAAGGGGCTATAAGATTGTTATAGTGTCAATGGCTTACAAGCGAGGGCACAATTGGCATTATAGGACATCATGCGAGTATGTGACACGGCATAAATAAATGTATGTAGAATGAAAACTTAGTGAAGAAGAATGGAATGCCATAGATGTGGGTACTGTTTGGATGTTTATTAATAAATAAAAAGTACTGTTCAGACCATCCTTTCTTTTATGGGTTTTTGGCTTTTTGCTTTGTCTCCGACTCTCTGTAGGGTAACGGATCGAATCGGATCGGACACAGTATCCAAATCTGACCCGTTTTATATTCGAATTGACCAACTGAGGGCTGGCTGGCTCGAGGCTCGTTGGTGTGTTAACTGGGTTGTTCCAGTGTTGAAGTGCAAGTTTTAGACTAGTCAGTTGCATGGTTGGTATAGACCACCGCATAGTTACTAGTTTGCGATTGATGCCATTGATGAAACTCTTTGTTATTCCACTCATTTTCCACCTCTTTTAACTCATTATCCGGGAAAATGGGATTTTGGCTTGGGAATTAAGGGTCCGTTTGGTTTGCAGGAATAAAGGTTTGGAATCGGTTATTCTGATTCCAACTGTTTGATTGGACGAAAACGGAATTCCATTCCCATTCTTTCTAGAATGGCATTCCCCCATTTGAGGGAATGGCCATTCCTTGCCCCTTCCTTGGGAATGAAATCCTATTCCTGTTGATTTTAATTCTCATTCTCATTCCTGTTTAAATCAAACAGAATATGGGAATTGACCATTCCGATTCTGATTCCGAAGGATTTCAATTCCAATTCTGACTATAAACCAAATGGACCCTAAGTTTGTAATCCATCTAAATTCATTTTAAGAGCCATTACCTTCCACAATTCAAGTTTTGGAAGAGGTGTAGGTGAAATTCGCCCTTAATTCTTGTCTAGGTTCAAACCAAGGTTATTTCCATGAAAAGGGACCTCCTTGGACACACATCAATACATCAGTTGAAATCAACTCAGTGGATGTTCACGCATTCCTTCTTAACAAATTCTCCCAAGACATCCCAAATGTGTAATGGCTAAGAGATTTTCTAAGTGGAGATTCTCTCTTCCTAGAGAGTTGAGAGGTTTTTAGTTCAATATTTTTGGTGCTTGAGTTCATGGTTATGTTCAACTCTGGAGGGTCTAAGTACATGAGATTCTGGTTCGTGTCTCTAGCCTTAAGAGGATGGAATTAAGGATCCATTTGGTTTGTAGTCGGAATCGGAATCAAAATCCTCCAGAATCGGAATCAGAATGATCCATTCCCATATCTGTTTGGTTCAGACAAGAATGGAAATGAGAATTAAAATCAGCGGGAATGAGATTTCATTCCCAAGAGAGGGGCAGAGAATGGTCATTCCCTCAAATGGGGGAATGCCATTCCAATAGGAATGGGAATGGGATTCCAATTCTGCCCAAACAAATAGTTGAAATCAGAATAGACCATTCCGATTCCAATTCCAGACCCCTTTTCCTACAAACTAAACGGACTCTAAGTGTTTTCAGGTAAGTACTATCTCCATTTTTTTTATATAGGTTTGCTTTGTTTTAAGGAGCTTTTACTAAGTCCCTTTTCTTGAGTTCGTGCCCTCTACTGAAAAAGGCATGGGAGCATGAATTCCATGAAGGGTATGGCTCATAAATTTGTGACCATCAGTTTAACCATTTGCATTATTCTTACCCATGCATCATTATAGGATGATAGTTCTCTTTCCTCCTATAATATTTAAAATCAACATGGTCATGCATCATTTTGGCCAAATAGTTTTATATTCTTATTTATCTTGTTACTTGCATTATAGAAAGCTAGAATTGCATTTAGTTGTGTAAAATGGGACTTAAGCCTTTTTTTTCTAAGGCAATGCTATTCTACTGGTCTTTGCCGGTGGGCCTTGAGAACTAGATAGGTACCCATCATTCTTATTCCATGAGTTGTGGTTTATTTGCGTTAGGAATATTTAAGACATGAGGGGATGAAATAGAGATTAGGGCCTTGGCCCAAGACGTGTGTAGTGCCAAACCCCTTCCACACTCATACTTTAATCCCTTAGATAGGCTAGTTAGACTTGGTTATTTGGAGTCATTTAAGGAATCATGGAACTAAAACGTTTTTTTTTTATTATTATACTGCGTGTTTTCAAAATTTCCCCAAATTCTTACATTCCAACTTCATATTTCTCCCCAATTTAGTAAAAATCAGGTGGCAACTCCTTAAACCAAACACCCCCACTCGCCCCCTTTGTTATGACCCTAGCTCGTGGGCTAGACACCACTTATCCCTAGTCGGATTCAAACCRACAAGCCAACAAGCCATTGAAGTCACACATTGGGAACGTCTCCATAGGTATTCATGGGGAGATGTTCCTGGTGTGTAGGACTGCAAGTCGGGTTGAGGCCAACCCTAGTCCAACCCTAAGTTATAAACCCCCAACCCTAACCCTAACTAAATTTCTTTAACCCCAACCTTCTTCCCATCCCTTAAAATCTCGTAGAACTTCTTAATCTTAGATCTTAAATCAATTTTCATTACATACTAGGCATGTCCCCGTACTAAGTATGGGTCCATGATCTAAATTATTTCATTTTTTTAAATATTCTATATTAGAAATTTTGAACGGTGTATTTGTGATAGTTTTAATGGGTCTCACCATGTATGCTTTTTATTCGGTTGAGAATGCATTTATTAATTTAAATATTTTGAAAGAGTAACTTGAATTTTGAATTTTATTTGAAACTGTAACTAACTACTTCTAAAATACTGTTTTCTGAAAACTTAGAGCGCCACGTGTCTAAATGGGGGAGGCTTCAGCCCACTACCTTTATTTAATATATAGATAATAGATATTAATCCTATGTTTTGTTGATTTTTTATTGGTTCTTTAAGTACAAAATTCAGGAAAAAAAAGTAGTGTTTGAAGTGACTATAGTTTATTATGATGACTTTTAATAAATCTTTTATGGGCAACAAGCTATGGGTGGCAAATAACAGAGAGGAGATAAAGAATAAAATATTCAAAAAATATAAAATATGTTATTAAGGTTTTAGTATTTCCGATTAGGATTAAATGAAGTTATTATTTTAAATGAAATAAATTATAGTATGTGGTGGTGGCTATACAACTACTATGCATCTAAACAATTCAATGTATGATATAATCACACACACATATAACATATATTTATATATGATATGTACTATAGAGTTGGGTTCTGGCTAACCCGGCCCAAGTTGCAACCTTACTGGTATGTGACCATACTGGATTATTACAAACCCTCTCTTAATGCCAAGTCATTGTTACATGAGATGTTCTCTATTATAATAAGTATCTAGTCCATAACTATCAGCTTCTCCAAGTTTTCAAAGTTTCTTCTAAATGAAGCTTTTCTATACAATATTTCCTGAATATTTACTTTATCTACATCAAAATCTCTCCTCACTAAGATCGGATCTCCTCATAATAAAAAACTATCCCAACACGTTCTAACATAATCATTGTCCACACATGCCATGCATGGGTCCTAATCTTATCGTGGGATTCAACCTTATTGTGAGATGCGTGGACATAGATCATATTGGAACAATTTTTGTTGTTGTTGAGAGGAGATCCCAATTAAGTCTTCATTCCAATTGCACTTCACGATATATAGTACTAAGACTAGAAATGTATCATGGGGAACTATCCCCACCATTAACCTCTTTGCTCATATGGAATTCCTATCGTGAGTTGCGACAAAGATGCCTCAAATATTCTAGTTCCTTACTTGGTTGCTACCTTTGAGGCTTAAAATTTGTTGTTGTTGTATTGTATTCCAAAGAGGTTTTGTTGCATGTGGTTCTTTTTTTTTATATAAAAAAGATGAAATATAGCTGATGAGTCGATTTTTTGTGAAGTGTGAATTTTTTGGTTAAGTACCTCGTCATTTGGTTTGCTTCTAAGTGGTTGATGACTCAGGTCGAAGTGAACTTTGGCAGCCGTGCTGAGTCGAGCTGGGCAGGCTAGGTGGCAAGCTGCCTATGAGGTGCCGAGCATACAAGGTGGCGAGCTGCTTGTGAGGTGTCGGGCTGACCAGGTACCGAGCTGCCTGTGAGGTGCCGAGCTGACTAGGTGTTGGGCTGGCTGGTGGCGAGTTGAATTGATGAGCTTCGTTGCTCTTTAGAGACTTGCAAGGAACCAAATGTTAGAGGACCCGAGGTGGCTAACCTGGCGAGGTCGCTCCGATGCTTAAGTCAATACTCTCATAGTAGACTACGAGCTAAAAATCACAAAGTCTGAGAGCTAGAACTTACTTACTTGCTTACTTCTCACTTGCCCCTATCATTGGGGTTAGTGCCTTTATATAGGCCTTGCTCACGTACCGCCCCCGAGATCTCCAGGAGGTCGTGTCTAACTGATCCAAAATCCTCGAGGTAACTGCCATGCACGTTGACCATCTTCCGGAATGAGGGCTAACCTCCAAGGGTCGTGGGGTATGCATGCTGAATTTTTCGGCGAGCACGTCTCGCAGGTCGCCAGGTCAACGCATGTGCCAGGCTGCCAGGCCGCGCCTGTGCCAGGTCGCCAGGTTGGACACCATCAACTTGGCAAGTTGTTGCCAAAGTGGTTCCGGGTGTCACCTAATTGTTCTGAGGTGCCATGTGCCACAATATCTTGGAGGGAAAAATCCGTTCTCATCATTTGCCCCCCACTCCCAAGCTGAAAGTAACTCGACGAAGGGAGTAAATTTCTCCTTTTGGCCTGGGATGAATAATTCGATGAGCTCGTAAGCGTTGATTCAATTCCTTAGGCTCTGGGAGTGACTCATAGTCCGCTCTTTGATTTTTCCCATGCCGAAGAGGCGATTGGGTCTTATGTGGCGAGGAAGTCTTTGCTAGTTCGATATTTTGGCCCCTAGGCTCTGGGAGCGACTCGTAGTTCACTCTCCTTGATCTTGCCCATGTCGAAGAGGTGATTGGGTCTTATGTGGTATTTTAGCCCATAGTCTTTGGGAGCGTCTCGTAGTCC